TGACCAATGAGTGACCACAGAGTGACCAATGAGTGACCAATGAGTGACCAGAGGTGGCCAAAATGACCAAAGGTCACTTCAGAGTGACCAGTGGTGGCCTTGCAGTGACCATGAGTGACCAGTACTGGTCAAGAGTGACCACCAGTGACCAATGGTCAGTTTTGGGTGGCCAAGAGTGACCAGTGGTCACTTTGGGGTGGTCAGGAGTGACCAATGGTCACTCTGGGGTGGTCAAGGTGGCTGGAAGTGACCAGTGGTCACTTTGGGGTGACCTTAGAGTGACCATTGGTCATTTAGAGTGACCAGAAATGACCAGTGGTCACTTTGGAATGAGCAGGAGTGACCAATGGTCACTCTGAGGTGATCAGTGGTCACTTTGGGGTGACCATGAGTGGTCAATGGTCATTTTGGGGTGGTCAGAGATGGCCTGGGATGGTCAGTGGTCACTTTAGAGTGACCAGGAGTGACCAATGGTGGCCTTAGAGTGACCATTGGTCATTTACAGTGACCAGGAGAGTGACCAGTGGTCACTTTGGGGTGGTCAAGCTGGCTGGAAATGACCAGTGGTCACTTTGGGGTGACCTTAGAGTGACCATTGGTCATTTAGACTGACCAGGAGTGACCAGTGGTCACTTAAGAGTGACCATGAGTGACCAGTGGTCACTTTGGGGTGGCCACGAGTGACCAGTGGTCACTTTGGAATGAGCAGCAGTGACCAATGGTCACTCTGAGGTGGTCAGTGACGGTCAGTGGTCACTCTGGGTGGTCAGTGGTCACTTTGGGGTGGTCAGAGATGGCCTGGAATGGTCAGGGGTCACTTTGGAGTGACCAGGAGTGACCAATGGTGGCCTTAAAGTGACCACTGGTCATTTTACAGTGACCAGGATTGACCATTGGTCACTCTGACATGGTCAGTGGTCACTTTGGGGTGGCCAAGAGTGGCCAGTGGTCATTTAGAGTGACCATGAATGACCAGTGGTCAGTTTGAGGTGGTCACTGATGGTCAGTGGTGGGCAGTGGTCACTCTGAGCACTCAGTGGTCACTCTGGGGTGCTCAAGATGACCACAAGTGACCAATGGTCACTCTGCAGGGATCAGCGGTCACTTTGGGGTGGACAAAGGGGGTCAAGGGTGGCCTTGAGGTGACCGCAGAGTGACCAAGAGTGACCACAGGTGGTCAGTGATGGACACAAAGTGACCACAGGTGGTCAGTGGTCACTTGGGAGTGACCACAGGCGGTCATTGGTGGACACAGAGTGACCACAGGTGGGCAGTGATGGACAGAGTGACCACAGGCGGTCATTGGTCACTCTGGAGTGACCACAGGCAGTCATTGGTGGACACAGAGTGACCACAGGTGGTCAGTGGTCACTTGGGAGTGACCACAGGCGGTCATTGGTCACTTTGGAGTGACCACAGGTGGGCAGTGATGGACAGAGTGACCACAGGCGGTCATTGGTCACTCTGGAGTGACCACAGGTGGTCATTGGTCACTTTGGAGTGACCACAGGTGGTCATTGGTCAGCAAGAGATGACCAGGAGTGACCACGGCGTGGCCAGAGTTGGCCAGTGGTCATCAGCAGTGGTCACTGGTGGTCATTGGTCACCAGGGATGGACAAGGGGTGACCATGGATGGTCATTGGTGGCCGTAGTCACCAAGAATGACCATAAATGACCACAGATGACCAGAGGTGGTCATTGGTGGCTGTGGTCACCAAAGGATGGACATTGAATGACCATCAATGGTCACAGATCACCAAATTATGGACATTGGATGACCATGGATGGTCATTGGTGGTCATTGGTCACCAAAAATGGACATTCTTGACCATGGGTGGTCATTGGTGGTCACTGGTCACCAAAGATGGACATTGGTGACCATAGGTGGTCATTGCCCACCAAGGATGGACACTGGATGACCATAAATGGTTGTAGATCACCAAATTATGGACACAGGATGACCACGGATGGTCACTGATGACCATGGGTGGTCATTGGTGACCATGGTCACCAGGAATGGACGCTGGATGACCGTGGATGGCCATTGGTGGCCATGGTCACCAAAAATGGACATTGGTGACCATGAATGGTCATTGGTCACCAAGGTTGGACACTGGATAATCATGGGTAGTTACTGGTGGCTATTGTCACCAAAGATGGACATTGGATGACCACGAGTGGTCACTGGTGGCCGTGGTCACCAAGGATGACCATAAATGGTCATAAACCACCAAATTATGGACATTGGATGACCGTGGATGGTCACTGGTGGCCATGGTCACCAAAAGATGAACATTGGATGACCATAAATGGTCATAAACAACCAAATTATGGATGCTGGATGACCACGGATGGTCACTGATGACCACAGATGGTCACTGGTGACCATGGCCACCAGGAACGCCGCCGTCTCAGCTGATGTAGACGCAGTGGAAGTCGTGGTCACCAAGGATAACCAATGGGTGACCATGGGTGGTCATTGTCACCAAGGATGGACATTGGATGATCATGAATGGTCATTGGTGACCATGGTCACCAAGCATGGACACTGGATGGCCATGGGTGGTCACTGGCCACAAAGGATGGACACTGGATGACCATGGATGGTCACTGGTGGCCGTGGTCACCAAGGATGGACACTGGATGATCACGAGTGGTCATTGGTGGCCGTGGTCACCAAGGATGACCATAAATGGTCATAAACCACCAAATTATGGACATTGGATGACCACGGATGGTCACAGATCACCAAAAGATGGACATTGGATGAGCATAGATGGTCACTGGTGGTCAGTGGTCACCAAGAACGACCATAAATGATCACAGATGACCCCTGGCCACCATGAATGACCATTGTCCTTATGGTGGGTCAGCAAGGATGGACATTGCTGACCATGGATGGTCATTGGTGATCATGGCCACCAAAACATGGACATTGGGTGACCATAAATGGTCAGAGGTCACCAAATTATGGACACTGGATGACCATGCATGGTCACTGGTGGCTATGGTCACCAAAGATGGACATTGGTGACCATGGGTGGTCATTGGTGGCCGTGGTCTCCAAGAATGACCATAAATAACCACAGATGACCATAAATGACCAACAATGACCCCTGGCCACCAGGAATGACCATTGTCCTTGTGGTGGGTCACCAATAGATGAACATCGGATGACCATAAATGGTCATCAATCACCAAGGGATAAACATTGGATGACCACGGATGGTCATAAATCACCAAATTATGGACATTGGATGACCGCGGGTGGTCATAGGTGACCACGGATGGTCACTGGTGACCACGGATGGTCACTGATGACCACGGCCACCAGGAACGGCGCCGTCTCAGCTGATGTAGACGCGGTGGAAGTCGTGGTCACCAAGGATAAACGATGGGTGACCATGGGTGGTTATTGTCACCAAGGATGGACATTACTGACCATGGATAGTCATTGGTGGCCATGGTCACCAAGGATGGACATTGGTGACCATGAGTGGTCATTGGTGGCCATGGTCACCAAGGATGGACATTGGTGACCATGAGTGGTCATTGGTGGCTGTGGTCACCAAGAATGACCATAAATGACCATAAATGACCATAAATGACCACAGATGACCACTGGCCACCATAAATGACCATTGTCCTTGAGGTGGGTCACCAAGGTTGGACATTGGATGACCACGAGTGGTCATTGGTGGTCATTGATCACCAAAGATGACCATAAATGGCCATAAATCACCAAATTATGGACACTGGGTGACCACGGGTGGTCATTGGTGGCCATGGTCACCAAGACTGGACATTGGATGACCACGGGTGGTCACAGATCACCAAGAGATGGACATTGGTGACCATGGATGGTCATTGGTAGCCGTAATCACCAGGAATGGACATTGGATGACCCTAAATGCTTGTAGATCACCAAATTATGGACACTGGATGACCACCGGTGGTCACTGGTGGCCGTGGTCACCAAGGATGACCATAAATGGTCATAAACCACCAAATTATGGACATTGGATGACCATAAATGGTCAGAGATCACCAAATTATGGACATTGGATGACCACGGATGGTCACTGGTGGCCATGCCCACCAGAAATGGACACTGAATGACCATGGATGGTCATCGATCACCAAATTACGGACATTGGATGACCACGGGTGATCATTGGTGACCACAGATGGTCACTAATGACCACGGCCACCCCAGACGCC